ATTGTGCTTGAATACACTCCTTAAAACTGTTTTTTTTAGAAGCACTTAAAAAAATATTTTTGAAAAAAATAAAAATAGTTTTATAATCTAAGTTACAGTTTGTTCCTCTATTATTATTGTTATTAAATTATTAAATAAAATAAAAATAAAAATAATTAATTTATTCATTTAAATTAAAATTTAAATATTTTTATTTTAATTATTAATTTATATATTATATTTAAGTTAAAATAAAAATTTAAAATATATGATTGAGATATCAAATTTGAAGAATTTTAATGATACACTGTAGTAGATGATTTAACATTTATAAACATAGTTTAGAAAATTTTCAAATATTTTGTAGAATAAAATCTATTTAAAATTAATTATAGCTTTTGTTGAGATATTTTACCTATTCGATTTTAAATTTAATAGATTTATATTTAGATTTGATCTTATCCACGTATTAAATAACTTATATTTGAGTCTTAAACAATATAATAAATTTTTATATTTAAACTAAAATTGATACATTTAATCATATTAAGGATTACTTTGTTTCCATGTCAGCTTCTACGTCAACTCATTTACATCTACGTCAGCAACTTTTGTTATTTTTTTAATGGGGAGACCAAAATCAATCAAAATTATTTGCAATGAAAACAAAATTTAAATTTTGATTGTGTTAAAACCAAAATTGATTTATTTCCTAATAATAATAATACATTAGATAAATATTTGACCATTTCATTATTAATTTTAGTATAGAATATAATTAATTTATTATAAGATATTATAATATAGTAGACAAATATTTATATACCATTGGATTGAGTATTTATTTATGGAAGATAGTATTTGAGTCATTCTATTCCTTTCTTTCCATTACCCAAGAACATAAGTATATATATATATATATATATACATACCATTCATTCATCAATTGAATTAGTTTTGGCTGATGTTTTAGAGCTCATCCTCACCACGATGAATAGTACCGCGTCGATGGACATCGTTCATCAAATGAATTCGATGCTGTAGAGCTCATCCTCACGAGACTTCCAATCAAGTCTCTAGTTCGATTCAAATCGGTCTCCAAATCATGGATCCAAGCCGCCAATAGGAACTTTGTCATCGCCAATGCCAAAGTCGTAGAGCTGATCCTCGCAAGACTTCCAGTGAAATCTCTCGTTCGATTCCAATCCGTCTCCAAAGCGTGGATCCACACCATCACCGACAGGGACTTTGCCTTGGCACATCTCCATCACTCCAAAAATTCATCGTCGCCCTCCTATCTAAAAACGTTGCTTGTTTGGTCCTATTGTGAGCAAGTATTACGCCTCTTTACAGTGGAGAGGGATGAATTGGAGCCATTGTTTGATCTTGAGATGCTTGGGCTACATCAGGAGCGCATGTGATGGACTAGCACTCACAGCTTCGCCTTCCCATAGAAACTACTTAATCGAAGTCTGGAATCATTCTGCCAAAATACGTACAAAATTGGGCTTCCCTTCTCCGTCTTTTCGTGATTTCATATGCGGCATTGGTTTTGATCCGTCGTCAAAGAGTAGTCACTGATCAGGATATGAAACAGTACTCAGTGTTTAACAACACAAGCCGGGATTGGAGCATGTTGAAAAAGGTGGAGATAACATCCGGAGATGACTTTAAAAGTTTCCCATGGGATGGCCATATGGTCAATTTGGGCAATTGGCCGAAAGCCCGAAAAGAAACAGATAGTATTGATATTGAAATGTATTTCTTCAACCCAAGGGATGACAAGTTTTATAAAACTATTTACAATTTTGCATTTTCCTTGTCGATTGTAGCAGCGGCAACTGTCGAGTTGTGTTGAAGAAAAAAGATGGCGTCAAATTGATGGAGTTTGATGAACTTTCGATTCCGTGGATGACGCGTCCGATCAGATATTATTGGGAGCGGTACGAGGATTTCTTCGACATGCCGGAATCGAGGAAGGCGGTCTTGTGTTCGAATTCGGCTCTCGAGTTTAAGATATACTTGACCGACGACCATAGAGAGCTTATATTTGATCGCTGTGAAGGACCTTCTATAGTCTATAACTTGATTGAAAGAAAAAGTAAACTGATTTTAAAGCCCGATTGCGATTGCGATTGAGTGTCCTTCTTCGATGGTATATTTGGAAAATCTCTTCTTCAGCAGCCCAGCTGGTTAGAATATTTTTTGAGAAAGGCTAAGCCATATGCAACTTTACAAATGTTTTATTCCTTAAAGATTGTCATTGATGCTAGCAACGATATCTTGTAATAAAACACTCCTATAATAAAGATTCTTTTTCTTTAATTTATATATTTTCGTCAATATCTTAAAATAAAATAATAAAATCATTGATTGTCGTTATGGTTTGTGACAAGTTTTTGGAAAAAAATTAAAATATTTTTCTTAGAATTTTTCAAAAAAATTTCAAATAAATTATTTGAAAAAACTACTATGAACTCCAACAAATAATTCTAAAAAATATATCACAAATTTTTAATTTATATAAAAAATTACCATATTAGTGAGTACAAATATAGTGTTTTAGATTTCTGCCACAAACTAAAGCGTCGGGGTTTGAAACTATAACTTCACCACCAGATCATCACTTACGTTATTTTTATTCTTAAAATAATAAAATATGATGAAACGGTCACTATTCCATAATCATCACATCAAACATGAAGCAAGAAACTTGTAAAAAATCAAGAACCCACTGGACACATCATATATATTCATCCAATTAACCTGAATTCACTAAGGAAGGATTATATGGTACCTATGAATTGGACTAGCTTCTTCGATCATTCGGATACGTTTGTAATAATTTTTCAAGCTTATGACCGCATTACATCGATGTGTGCCTTCTTCACAGTGATCATCATCTGTAAAGATCAAAATGTTCTGTTACCAAGGCAAGAACATATGTCACAACAAATTGAATCCTCCGAGCCTATGGATTTTTACAGTGAGATGTGCGAGGTAGCGAAGCTATTGGGAAGTATATATGCAATTGTAGGAGAGATTCGGACGAGCTTATGCTCTATTGAATGTGACCTCCCATGGCTATCAAAAAAGAGGCAGCATCAGTTACCCTGCCTACACCACACCTCATATGGTTCGGTTCAGTTTGTGAATTCTTCGAGGTTGTAGTGACATAAATAAGCTTTGGAAAAATATTACAAACATATCATAATGATCGAAGAAGCTAGTCTGGTCAACGTTCTAATAGCCGGCTCTGGTCAATGTGAACTCCATGGTTGCAGTGGACTTGGATTTGATTTACATATGCAATACTTTGAATTGGGACGAAGCGCATATTGTTTTTTAGAACAAAAAAAAAAGTTTGGATATGTTCAAGGGAAAACTAAGTCCAATGCTTTGTTGTAGGACTTAGTCTCCACTCCATCAGTATCTCTTTCCTCTTAGCAATATTTTGTTCTCATTGATTTAGTAAAATTTTGAATTGAAATAATTAGTTGATGTGATATAAATATGTATTGATGTGATATTTTGAATATAAAATTTAATTTCAGTATAACATAATAAATAAAAAATAGGTGTTTGATTGTTATATTTTTTTTGGGAACAAAAATATTAGAACAGAAAAACATAAAATCAATGGGATGTTTGGCAAATAGCTTTTTGAAGAGCTTTTAGCTTATTGAACAGTTTTTAGCTGTTTGACTAGTCAAAAAGCTAATTTAGGTGTTTGGTAAATTAGCTTTTTGGAATAGTTTTTTGGATCCAAAAAGCTAATTTCTGAAAAGTTAACTTACCCAGCGTTATAAAATAGTTTTTTCTGTAAAAAAATTTTTATTTCTCCCTTAAAAATTTATTATACATTTTATTTTACACAAATAAATATATTTTGATTATTTATTAATTATATTAGAATATTTTATTATATTATAATTTTACTTTTATAAATTTAAAATAATTAATTTTTATATAAAAATTATTTTAATTGTAAAATATATAAATTTATTAAAATCAACATAAAATAAAAAATATAAATATTAATAATTTATTTTTTATTAAAATTACATTATATAAATTTTATACTAAAAATAAATTAAATAAATTAAATTTATTGAAAATTATAAATATAATGAACTAATCGATAACTAACATAATAAATATATACACGAAAAATTTATTATTTTATATTTTACATCATTTTCAATAAAAAAAAAACTATTTATATATTTTAATAAAAATATATTATTTTTTAAATCTAACTGTAATAAAAATAAATACTTTTATAACACTTTTATTTACAAGTTTCAATAACTAATAACAAAAAAATTTAAATATTCTAAACTCAAAAGAATATAATTGAAATATTAGAAACAAGAATAAAATAGAAATGTTCTCAATTGTCATTTTATGTATAAACAGTTAATATCAAACAGTTGTTTTTCCAAACATTTTAATACAAACAGCTAATCGAATCAACTAGTCAAACCAGCCAATTGAATCAGCTAACAGCTAACAATTATCAGCTAATTGTCAAACACGCCCCAAATCACACAAGTAAACACACCCAAAATGACAATTTATTTGAGTTTACGTGGAATATAATTATAATATATGTATGTTTCTTGATGAATTTCATGTCAATGTACATATATACATTCTTCTTAGATGATTTGATTCCCAGCCTTAATTTCGATGAAACTTGTAAACCTCACATTGAAGAATCTAATTAAGTAGTTTGGCATAGAGCAATGGATCTCGTGGTATGATATTATTTGCTTCGACCCCATAATCATTTCCTGAGCTTTTGATTACTCAAGTCCAGTTATGAAGAGCGTTGGGAGTGATCAGTGAGGATGAGAAAAGTTTAACTAACACTCTACATGATCACCAAGGCTGGTGACTTTTAACTCTTTCTTAGATTTGTAAAATTCTCAATTTTCTCCTAAATATTAATTATTAAGTAAGCGGTTATACATATAGGATGGAAAATATATCTTAATTTTTGATAAATTCTATATTAAATATCGAAAACCTCACTCTTTCACTCTCATATCATATCAACTGTATAATTACTTAAATTCTCCAAGAAAATTGCGCATTCACAAGACCAGCATCAAGAAACATTCATGGCTTCGTCTTCTTCTTCAAAGAATCCTTCTTCGTCTACGCAACCAGTAAGTTATCTTCCTAAACTGATTGATTTGATTCGATATTACTTTATAGCTACAATATCAGTATGCTTCCCACAACCTGTTCGTGTTTCCATATATATTGATTGGCTTTCCAGGGCATCTTGTTGGATACTTGAAATCTTGTTGACGATCTTGATCTGATTCGAAAATGCCTCATGATTCTTTAAATCTTGTTGAAATGTTCGTATTGCGTACTAGTTTAATTTCTTACATTGCAATGAACCAAGCAGTGAGTGTTTTCTGCATTATATTTTGCAGCAGAAAAGAGGCGATTATGTCGAGCCCCTTTTCTATCCTGACGATGAACCTCTGCCCTTCCATGAAGCATCTTTCATTCCAGCTTATGGCTTACCCAGAGTTACTGTTACCGACATTCCCGAGCGCCCCTTTGTCATTTCAACAGTTCCGCCAGAAAAATTTAATGTTCTTGTTCAGATAGAGGCACCATCATTGTTCCAATATAGAAACCATCCCCTGCAGCGCACTCCTATTGATCTTCTTATTGCGCTCGATTTTAGCCAAGACCTCGGACAACGAGCATGGGATCATGTCAGAAATGCCCTGGGCTTTGTAATCGACAACTTAGGCCCCTCGGACAGGCTTTCGATACTTTCGTCCTCTGCCAGGCCTGAAAAGGTTTCTCCCCTGCGCACAATGTCCGAGCAAGGACAGAAAGCGGCAAAAGATGCCGTTAACAGACTTGTCTTTGCAAAAGCTGCAACTAATTTTGTTGATCTTCTTACTGTTGCAGCTCTGGTTCTTGATCAAAGACGGTATCTCAATCCAGTGGCATTCATTATACTCTTGTCCGATAGGAAAGACACTAGAAACACACGGCCTCTTGCCTTGGAGATTAATCGAGAAAAGGAACTAAGTTACCTTGAGGAATTACCGCTTGCAGTCTATCCTCCTCGCTATGACGTAGAGTATATAAATAGTTACTTTGAAGCACCCGTATATCCGGTCTACGCCTTTGGCATTGGTACACAGCACGACCCTTTTGCGCTGCACGCAGTGTGTTCGGCAACAGGCGGCACTTACTCCTACTTGGAAAGCTACGCGATTCTGCGGGATGCCATCGCCTGTCGCATCGGAGCCCTGCTCAGTGTAGTCAAAATACAGTTTTGTTTAACGCTCTTGCGAGGCACTGCTGGGGTTAATATTCTCGACATCTACTCCGGAGACTTCTATAGTAACATTTGCGAAGAGGATAAATCGATAGGTGAAATCAAATTAAGGCACCTTTTCGCTGATGAGACGAAAGAATTTCTTATCGAAGTGACTCTCCCGGAAAACAGCTTGGAGCTTAAGGAGACATGCCTTGATTTGATCTGGACATACAAAGATTCTGTGTGGAATGATGGGAAAACACAGCTATATTATGATCATGTCGACATTCATCGAACATTAATCGCCCCCCATCCCATGACAAACCTTGTTCACAAGGAGGTTGTACGGACGAGGGCATGCCTCTATTGCTCGTTGCGCATTCACGACGCCATAAGGACCTACGAAACCAAAGGGTTCATTAAAGCGAGGGACTTTTTGCAGAACCAATTAGCAGAAATTAATGAAAGTGAAAGTGTCGGCAACGGCGACAAGCTGAGTCTTTGGATGCTGAAACAGATAAAAGAAATAGTAACAAGAATGATGGGAGGTTGGAATTTGTTTAAAAATGGTGGATTTGCTATAGCTCTATCGACTATGAGTTCGTGCGACACGCAAACTACAACCACTTCGGGTAGCCAAGTCCCCGGCTCTGAAGATCACCCGTTTCAGCCATATGGGACTCGCAATACTATGGAAATGCTGGGGAAGTCGAGATTAGGACAACAACCACGACAACAACAACGACGACAATGTAGTTCCACTCGTGCACACCATTAGATATTTCTAACCATCCGATACTATCCAATATCCCTTTCTTGTAAGCACCTTAGATTTCTCAAAACATTAAGTCACATTCATTGGTTTTTGCAAGTCTTCCAAAATTGTTTGTTAGAAAGCAAACTATAATTTCTGAAATTTAACCAAACAATCAGTCCCTATATATCAAGCCCAAATGCAAAATACAAATGAATTGATGTCTACTCAATTAATTTCAACAACACTTCTCTTTCTTTGATTAGAAAATGAAGGACGAAACCAAACAAATTTAAATCAAACCAAAAAGAGAACTTATCTATCTTAGTTAGGCTCCACTTCATTAGTATATATCCTCTTGTATTTTTTTTTATTTTTGGATATCATATAATTTCATAATTTTTTTCCAAATTTTAATATAGTATCAAAGCCCAATTTTATAAATCCAAAACCCTAGCCGCCGCCATGCCACCCTCTCGCGCCGCTGACGTGAATTGCGGAGGAAGAAGGTTTTTCGCCGCTGCCGTTTTGGCCGCACATGTGGGCACGTCCGTTTTTCGGCCGCCGCCTCCTGTTTTAGTTTCCTACGTAGCCAGTATGGCTGGTTTTGTCATCCGAGTTAATTTTATTTTGCCGATGTTACCAAGTTGAGTTTTGTCATGGACTGACATTTCTACCTCAAGTTCTCGGTCATAGTCCGTCCCATATGTACGAACTCTATCCTATACGGGCGACTGACAACACTGACAACACATGTCTTGGCTCAAGTATGTGTTTAGCGTACTTCTCTCATACTGCATGGTATATCCTGGGCATATTGCGCATCCCCGTAATTATTAAAATTAATATTATATATTTCTATAATTATATATTTATAAGATTAAATTTTTTATCTTGAACCCCGACCTAAAGGTAAGTGGTCGAGGGCTTCACCAGTAGACTACATCTTTTTTTTTTTTTTTTTTTTCAATTTGTTCCATATAATTTATCTCTTTTTTTTTTTTCCTAAAATATGACTATACACTTTAATTCTATTTTTAAATTCATATTTTGTAATTTTTTTAATTTTAATTAAACTATTTAATCATTTTAATAATTTATAACAATTTTTAATAATTTATAACAATTTTTTATTATACAATAATTATTTTTACTGACACTCTTATTAATAATTTGTTAATTATATTTTATCTGAATTCTCGTATTTACAAAATATAATTTACAAAATAAGGCGGATTTTTTGAATTGACCCTAAACTCGGAAGATTGAAGCAGACGGGTTTTGGGGCTAAGACAGGATGAGTTTTAGGGCCTATAATATTTTGAAGGTCTGGCGAGACAGGTTCTCGGACTTGCAAAATCTGCTCGGAACATATATCATACATCTTTCAAATTTTTTTATAATTAATATACATGTATAATCTTTATTTTAAAGAAGCTTTAAAAAAATTTATTCTACTTTGTAATTATATGTATAACATAAATTAGTCTTAAATTTCCAATATCTTTGTATATATTTATATATATATATATTCTTTTATTTTCCCGACCATCTTTCCTCTTTGTGGGCAAGATCTTCTCCTCCAATTCCTTCCACCTTTGCTTCTTCTTCACAGTGAAAAGTTGAGAAAGAAATGATGGTGGTGTTAGAGAATGGAGATCTGCCCCAGATGAAGCAGAGAATGGCTTACTTAATTGATGACCAAACCTAATTAATCAATTTTTTTAAGACGAGAAAACAGCAACCAATGGAAACAATTAATCTGTCTTGTGTCATCTAGAGACACAGTTGCAATAATTTGATTGGACTGGACTGCTTGTCCCCAATAATGGATAAATAATACTACATTGTCAAACACAATATAATACCCACTTGACATCAATTGTCCGAAACTTAGCATATTACGGGCTAAGGTTGGGATAAATTGCACGTTGCGGAGATGTCTAACATCACCTTGTATTTGTATTGTGTTGATGGAAATTGTTCGTTTTCCTTCCACGTGCATTTCTTTTCCATCTCCAAGTCGAGAACCACTCCTAGCTTGTTGCATTTCATCAAGTTCTTCGAAGAGAGATTTGACACCCGACATGTGGTTCGAGCAGCCACTAGATGTACTTCTCTCCTTTGAATATTGAAATGTCAACCCGCACTGTTATCAAATTTGTTAGGAGAATTTGGGACTCGAATTTTTTTGGAATGAACTCTTATACTATATTAGATGATGTAAATGACTATTTCACCCAGCAGTGGTCGCTATTCTCGTTACAAAATAAAGGAAGTACGAACCAATCAAAATTCCCAAACTAAAACTAAAATCTGTCCAAGTCGAGGTCGAAGATGTCAATTACAACTACACGAGCTAAGTCCCTTTATATGCAAAACCACGGCGCCGTGCTGTCATCTATAGACGGTTAAAGCTGCTGTCGCTGTGCCGAGGTGGACTTCATTATTTATAAGCAACATCGGGAGCTAGATAGGCGTTAGCAGAAACAGCCCCCGGAAGTTTTCGACTTCTAGTCGTGGCCCTCTGAACATTATGACAGCTCAAAAACGAGAGGGCGTAGTTTCGTCCACCGTTCTCATACCCCTCCCGACTCTCGGTTCTTGCTCTTATTTCTTTTATGTCTTCTAAAAGCCATTCGTACAGCGTATCATTAGACAGGATGTGCTTTGCAGCAAGACTTAGTCTCCACTCCATCAGTGTCTCTTTACTCTTAACAATATTCTGCTCCCATTGATTTAGTATCTCTTGACCTTGCGCCATTTCGCCCCTTTCGAACCACGACAGTGCTGTTGCAATGGCCTCGGCGACGCACAGACGATCCCTCTGTTGAATAAGTGTCAAATACGGTACATAGTGTTTGATGTAGTGAATCTTTGGCCGGAAGATGCTCCTCGAACAACACAGCCGTATTCGCTTCTTAGATACTATGTCGTCGTACTTATAAAATGCATTCACTTCTCTGCATATATTCATTTTTTTCGCTCTCTTGTTTTCCAGTGTGACGAGGAAATCCTTTACCTCGTCGGCATATATGTCCGGGATGTAGATTTCGCCACGGTCTGTAACAAGATGCTTCGGATGCCTTCCTGAAAAGATTGCTACAACCTGCAGCTGCTCTGTTGTCGCAAACCTTAGAATACAATTTTGAGCGACAGTGTTGCGGATTCCTCGAAGGCACCTCGCAACAGCGCCTTGTAAGGCATCGTAGGACTCGACAAATGAGTACGTCCCACCGGATGATGAAGCTATAGCGTGCAGTGCAATCGGATCATGTTCTAAACCAAGTCCAAACGCATATACAGGAAAAGGAGGTTCAGGATCGCCGGGTCTCATCCTTTGTCGACAGATTGAGATAGGCAATAGATTCAGATACTCGGGCTTCCTCCCATTCCCTGAATCTCGATCTTGCACGCTGCAGTAACAATTGTCTCTTCCGCTCGACAAGAAAATAATGCCCGTAGTCCAATTCATGTAATATCTGTCTTCAAGAACCCGGGCCCCCATCGTTAGGCCTTGCACGATGTTAGTCCAACCTTGAGCATCCATAAGTGAAAGAGCAAACCTGGCTACGTCCCTGCCGACTTCATTCATCAAAGTCAGGGGTAATATTCGCTTGGCAAAGGTGCCGAAGTAGACTATGGAGAGCCGGTCCCGTTCGCCTAAGTTGTCTATAACAAACTCAACAACACGCTTCAGATGACCTAAATTGGCATCGCTAAGGTTTCTAGTCACCTCAATCACCATAACTATGTCGACAGTCGGAGTTGCACAAATGTCAGGATAACTCGACATGGAAGGTGCTATAAGCCTGAGGAGGACGTTGATTCTTGAGCCCAATACATCTGGAGAAACCAACGGCTCCTCTGGTATGATCTTGAGAGCAATCTTTGGTATGGTTAAGGGAATCGCCCCGTTGAAAAATACTTCATCGGCGCTTTCGAAAACAGAAAAATCCACAGGATCGTCGTCCCTAAAGATTCGATTGTCGTCTCTGGGACTACTGCTTCTTCCCTATTAACACAATAAGCATAAACTCATTATAAACAAAAAACCTACAAGATCGCCAAATACATTGTAAAATAGAATGAAAATTCAAGATCGTTGATCGATACTTGGAACTAAATTTAATTTAAATCTCGTATATGATCCTGTGGCATTCCTCAAATATGATTTTAAACATAAACAAGTTCTGGAATGGAATTTAATCAACAGAACAGAAAGACACACAGTTATGAGAAATGTAAAACAAGAAACTTCAAAGATGAGAGGAGCAGGAACTCGAAAAATATGGTGGATATGTTCGATTCAAGCACATGGATTTGTAGCAGAAGTTAAGAAGTGGAAAAGAGAACTCACATAATTTTCAGATCTTTCGATTATTGAATCTCTTGAACTTGATCGACGACGTGGTGAAGAAGCCATGGATATCGGTATGAACTGGGGGGTTTGGTGGCTGTGGATTCTATTTCTCTGTTAAGATTTGGTTATGAATTTTTGGTTTAAAGAAAGCTAACAGAATATATATACATTTCCAGAGAGAATTATTATACTATCATTTCCAAAGCATTGCGAGGAAATATTTCACTAGAAAATTCCCTTGCAACTTAAACAGAACCCCTTTGCTCAAATATATTATCGATTTTCTCAATACATGTCCAACCAATTTCAAACTTACAATGTATATGAGATGATATTACAAATGTAAATTTCACTCATTCCAATTTCATAATCCAAACAAAGGTATCCAGTAATAACAAAATCAACATAACTCAATAGAAACCGAACATATCCATCATATAAATATCAACTCAATGTAGCTTATTCACATGAAGCCGGCAGTCTTAGGCAACGCAGTCGCCACCACCATTGCCATGGGAAATTTATAAGGAAAAAAGACCCTAACCACACCCCTTAGATGTCTGACACTGCCGCCGAACCATTTCCATTCGTCAAAAGAGCAAAAAATATGGGAGTATGTTGTGTTTATGTGAGTGAGAGATGCAAAGGGCTAAGGATTTTAATTTTAGATTTGCCAAGAATTTCTATTCATCACAAAATCTGTCACAAATTGCGAGGGAAATTCAATCCCTCGCAATGTTGCTCATGTAATTTGTAGGGGATATAAATACTTTCCCTTGTTTACGTAGAAATAGACAAGAGGAACTATGGGATACATGGCACCCGAGATGTTCTACAGAAACATGGGTCGTATCTCGTACAAGGCTGATGTCTATAGTTTCGGAATGATGTTGATGGAAATGGCGAGTAGACGGAAGAATTTGAATCCCATTACTGATGACATGAGCCAAATGTGCTTCCCAATATGGGTGTCTAAACAGTTATTGCGGGAAATGATATACAAGTACATGAAATAACCGAAGAAGAAACCACAATAATGAAGAAGCTTGTTATTGTTGCATTGTGATGCATACAAATGAGAGCATTGAAACAAAATAATAGAGATGCTTGAAAGTGACTCAGAACCACGGATGCCTCCAAGGCCCTTTGAGTTTGAAGTAACTAGAACTTATAGTGTGGATTATATAAGTTTGGATATTGCCAATGAATTGTTAGCTTTTAGTCATCCATCGGAATAAAATTGTGTCTGAATGTGTAATAGATTGGTAAAACTGTAGTCTTTTGAATGGAGGGATTTATAGAAGTTGTACCATAGGATATGGAGCTGTAAGAGTTCTATTTGTTGTATTGTGCTCAAACCAGTTTCAATTTTCTGTTTGTTGTGGCATTCACTTTTAGACAATTCCTCAATTGCTTGAGGCCCATGGCACCACCAAACTCTTTGCTCCTAACAACAAAGTTGTGGTAAAAAACCAGACAAGCACAAAATGTGGCAATGTTCATTTACATTTTCAATATTATTTCCACACTATTTATAAAAAAATCATGTTGAAATACATCAAAATTTTCACTTATTATCTTACTCATCACTTACATAAGCACCCAAGATCATACAAGTACAGTTTTTCTCAAGGAAAATCCTAACATAAGTGTCAAAATAAATAGCAGCAGATGAAACAGAGGAAGTCCAAATACATGAGGCACAAGCACTTACCAAGAACAAGGATACAACTTCTAGCTACACAATCATATATATATATATATATATATATAGATAACATAAAAACACACAAATACAGCATATGCTACAATGTCTCACAGAAGAACACAAGCCAGGTTACTCCTCTAAGTTCATATACAAGATGCATATAAGAAAGACACTGGTATAGTTAAACCAGTTCCATTGAAGCAACAGGTCAAATGTATTTCTATGTTTGGCTTGTAATCAATCACCATTTAAGCCTTCTAGGGATTCTTGAAAACCCATCGTACAAATATATATATCATTCAGCCATGGGATAAAGAATCCCACTTTCAAATTCAATCACAAAATTCAACTGCAACAACAGTTGAAATCAAGATATAAAGATTGATATTAACCCAATTGCAGCAGGTAATGAAACAATTCTCAAATCACCAACCAAATTATTGAAGCAAATTCATAGATTTATCATTCAATTGACAAAATCAAAGCATATCTATAAATCCCCCAAATTAACAGTAACTGCATCCATCAGAAAAAACCCATTATCCTCTACAATAATCCGAAAACCCTAACCCTCTAATTCAACATAAACACAAGCCAAACCTTCCCATACAAGGATTCAAGAGCTAGTAAATTTGGTAACCGCCTTCGTCCCCTCAGAAACCGCGTGCTTCGCCAATTCTCCAGGTAACACAAGCCTCACCGCCGTCTGGATCTCCCGAGAAGTTATCGTCGGCTTCTTGTTGTAGCGCGCAAGCCGCGACGCCTCCTGCGCAAGCTTCTCGAAGATGTCGTTGATGAAGCTGTTCATAATCCCCATAGCCTTGCTCGAGATCCCAATATCAGGGTGCACCTGCTTCAGCACCTTGAAGATGTAGATCTTGTAAGTCTCCACGCTCTTCTTCGTCCGCTTCTTCTTCTTGTCCACGCCGGCAGCACCAGCGTCCTTGGGAAGCTTCTTCCCAGCCTTGGGCTTCTTCTCCGCAGGAGCCTTTTCCGCCGCCGGAGCCTTCTCCGCCGCTGGCTTCTTCTCCGCCGGTTTCTTATCCGCCTTTGGTGCCATTTTCGATGAAAGGTAAGGAAAGTACAATCGACAGCGAAGACTTACGAAAGGTTGCGTTGGAGAGGAATGAATTGCTGAATAAGTAACCGCTGTGGGGTTGGATATATATAGAGCTTAGCCATCACGTTTCATTGGCTGAACCGACTGAACGCGGATCCTTGATGTAGTCCGTTGATTAACCTTTCAATCTGACGGTTCAGATTACATGAAGATTGTTTGTTTGGATCAAGGGCTTTCTAATTGAGAGTTAAAAATTTTCATTTCGCGCGCGGTTTATATACACATATATTTGGCGGGATATTGTATTTATTTGGTGGTTACCCAATATTAGATTAATTTATTTTTGTATACAATAAATATAAAATATATTATTTTAAATTAAATATTTAATTTTTTTTAATTTATTTTTTGTATTGTGGCATAAAAAATGTAAAATTTTTAATTATTTTTTAGAATTATAATTCAAAAAACTGTTGCACCAATAGACTCTATTTTCTATAAAATATTTAAATAACTATATTTAAATTAATTAATCTTAAATTATTAGAATTGATATTAATAATTAATTTAATTGATATATTTTATATTTTATATTAGTATTATTTTTAAATAAAATTACGTTTGATTATTTAAATTTTAGTTTCAATAAATATTTCAAAAAATCAATTTATTTCAAAAAAATCTTGAAACGTTGGATTTTGGAGGTTTTCTCAAAAGAGCCATTGGTGTTGTTGCTCTAACAAGCCTCGAGGCTGTTTTCCCATCTCATATTTTAAGAAGTATAATTTCGGGTTTTTGGGTCCCGGTTGAAGCTTAAGTGAACAAAAAATTGTCAATTCGAATCTGATCCGAATACGAAATTTATTTTGGATCGAAACACGACACATTTGTTTGGATTGGATACAGATCAATCTGATTTAGTTTAAGATTATCTAAAAACCGAACAAACCCAATACGAAACAGATCCAAAAATTTTTTTAAAAAATTAAGTTTACCTAAAAATATTCATTTTTAACTTAGAGAGTGTTTGTGAAACAGCTTTTTGAAGAGTTTTTAGCTGTTTCACCTATCAAAAAACTAATTTAGGTGTTTGGTTATTCCCTATTTACCTTTAAAACTTAATTATTTATTATATATATATATATTTTTATAGTCGTATTTATTAATTATTTTTAATATATTTAATTTATTAAATTATATTTTTATTTTTTTAAATATAAAATAATTACTATTATTAATTATTACATATAATTTATTTTATTTGTAAAATATATAAATTTTTAAAACTAAATCAATAGAAAAAACAAAAGTTATTAATTTATTTATATATATTAAAACAATAATTAACATAATAAAAAATATATATACGAAATATTTATTATTTTATATTTTACATAATTTCAATAAAAAAATTATTATTTTTATAATTTTCAATAATTAATAACAAAAATTCTCATAAATCTCAAACCAAAGAAAAAAAATTAAATATTTTAAAAAAATAACATGTCCTTAATAGTCATTTTATATATAAACACATAATGTCAAACTTGTTTTATCAAACACTTTAATACAAAACCGCTAATTGAATCAGCTAGTCAAACCAACTAATTGAATCCGCTAACCGCTAATTGTCAAACGCACCCTTAATTTTTTATATTATTTTACAGTTAATATAATATAAATATTATAAATTAAAATAATAATTAGCAAAAAAATACTTTTTGATCAATTCAAAATTTGACCTGATTTTTATTTTTATATTTCAAGTTATTAAATCGGCCTGAAATCCAAACCCATTTTTTTTTTTTCACATTTGAATCAATCCAATTTTTACCAAATTTGAAATACCCAAACCTTAATCTAAAAATTTTCAAGTTGAATGAGTTGTCAAGTTTAATTTTGACACCCTATGGGTGTGTTTGTCACTGTTCATTCAAAAAATTTTCCAAAAAAAATATCACATCAAACATTAAGTTTTACGTTCAAAATATCACATTATCATCTATTTATATCACATCATATAACTATTCTAATTCAAAATTTTCACTATTCAAATTCTAACTCAAAATTCAAATTTAAACATCATATCAATACGTATTTATATCATATCGTACAACTATTCTAATTTAAAATTTTTAATATAACCAATAGTAGTATACTTATTAACAAAGAGCATCCTTGCTATTTTGGACTCTAGATTTTCAAAAAAAATATGTACTTTATTTTTTTTTTCCCGTAAAACATCTCATCATATATCATTTTAATATCAAACTGAAACATTTCCTTAGGGTGTGTTTGTTTGAGGGTTTGGATTTTGAGTTGGGATTTAAATAGTAAAAATTTTGAATTTGAATTGTTGGAAGATGCGATATAAATATGTGTTGATGTGATGTTTTGAATATAAAATTGATTTTTAGTATAATATAAAAAATAAAAAATAGGTGTTTGATTTGATATTTTTGGGGGAAAAAAGGGGATGAATAGTGGATTTAAAATCTAATCTCCCAAACAAACACACCCTTAGTGTACTTTATCCCTCCACTCCCCCGTAACAGTAAAATAAAAGAACCGGAAATTAAAAAATAAATCATGTAAATGCATACCACAACATATGTGCATATGAGTAGAACTGTTAAACGAATCGAGTAGCTAGCGAGCCAAGTTCGACTCGGCTCGTTAACAGTTCGACTCGGCTCGTTTATAGAGATAAACGAGCCGAGCTCGAGCTCGGCACGCGAGTAGCTCAATTGAGCTCATTAGTAATAATATATTTATATTATTTATATATTAATATAATATATACTTCCTCCGTCCCGCGACAGATGACCCCTTTTTCTTTTTTATCCGTCTCATTAAAGATGACCCCTTTATTCATTAAACATATTTAACAGATATAAATCAATTTAATTAAATTTTAACCTCTTACACATAGACCCACTCAAAACCCTTTTATTTCTATCTCTCTCCTCAATAAATAAATATTTTTATCTATATTTAAAACTTTTTATTTATAATAAAATTAGTTTTAAGTTAATTATAAATAAATAAATAAAATTATTTTATTTATTTATTTATATTATATAAAATTTTATTCTCTACAAAATGATATGCAAAATTGTCATCTTAACCGGGACAGAGTGAGTATAATTTTTTATATCAAAATTTATATTTATTATTAAAATTTAAATATTTTATTATAGAAAATTAGGAATAAAATTAAATTTATTTAATTTATATATTAGAAAATATACTCCCTCCATCCCTCATTCTATGTCACTTTCCGTTTTTGAAAAATGATTAAACTAATTTTAATTTTTAATTTATAATTAAACTAATTAGTTAATTATTTATATTATAGAATAATTATTTTCACTAATACATTCTTAATTATCTACGTGTCTACAGTGTAGCAAGCAGACACGGTATTCGAGTTCAAGCTTTACGAGCCGAGCTCGAGCTTGAATTTGAACCTAACTAGCCGAGCTCGAGGCACTATATTGGCTCGAATTCTTAACGAGTCGAGCCAAGCCTGTACCGTTAACAAGTTCGAGTCGAGCTCGAACAACCAATACTCGAGCTCGCTCGGCTCGTTTAACAGCTCTACATATGAGAAACAACTTTTCTTCCGATAACAAAAAGAAGATGCCAAAACTACGCAGCACACTTTCATTCATTTAACACTATTCATTTTGAAAAAAAATATCACATCAAATACACTTTTTCTCTCGCAAAACATCAAATTCAATACTAACTTTTTACTTTTTCTGAACTTCCAAATTTTAAAAAACCTCCGAAAACTCTTATCTAAACAAACCCCTAGTCTCAGCCTATAGCAGAAAATGTGCATATATAAATAATAAACCATCATCAGCGTACTCTGTAGATATACATAGCATATATATACACATCTCAAGCAATTCATGCAAACGAACAGCATTGGTAAGTCCACAAATCAAAACTAAACTGGAGCACCTGACCAAGAAAGCAACAAGAAAGTAAACTTCATGTAAAGAAAATCAAGAATATATATCCAATGCCAGAAGCAAGCAACTTCTGGACTATCTTTGCATCTAAACCCCTTTCATATGCATTGTGCATCCTAACAATAACAAGTTACAAATGACACCCAAGAACCAAAAATTGGAGCACTTTGAACCATTACCCAACAAGATATTGTACAAATATCTCATGAATACATCAAACCCTACAAGATTGGATGCCATTAGCCTCCACTTGTCATTTCATCGAAACCACTGGCATCGCATCCTAAACATTTAGCAACTAATGACACCCAAGAACTTTCTAAATTATAAACAGGATAACTACAAAAGCTCAAATCTCACATCTTTCCTAATACTTTATCAAGAATAAAAGGATATCCCTAAGCCATTGTTCAGTTAAAAAGAAATCAAACTAGGGCAGTAGTTACATACCAAAATAGAAACAGAAGCTTCCAATTAAAGACCACATCAACTAAAAACAAACACCACGTTATCAATAACCCTCAAACAGGGTAAAGAATGAGATGATAGATTTGAAACCCCATAATTCTCCCAAACAAAACTACATCAAAGCAGAAATTTGCTAAATAGACAACTCTCAATTCCAGATGATCATCCTTAAAGCATCATTAACAATCAAGAATGGGGAATAAACAACACAATTTCACACATCTATAAATGTAATTGAGGAGATTAAAATTGTGCAACTGGCTATGAGTGAAAGGATAAAAGAAAAGGGCCAAGCAAATATCAAGCTTCATTCTAAGTAGTAATTCGCAATCTAATAATCATCGATAGAACTCACACTGCATCATCTATACAGACCAACACAATGTGTAATAGACACCATTTGTACATTCAGAATAGAAAACTCAGTAAATTCTAAAGCAAATGCAGTTACCCCAAAAGCCAAATTGGGGAATTTTTATGAAACCCTAGAAAAGCAATCAAGAGCTTGTGAACTTGGTGACCGCCTTAGTTCCCTCAGAAACGGCGTGCTTGGCCAACTCTCCGGGCAACACCAGCCTCACGGCGGTCTGAATCTCGCGGGAGGTGATCGTCGGCTTCTTGTTGTAGCGCGCAAGCCGCGACGCCTCCTGCGCCAGTTTCTCGAAGATATCATTGATGAAACTGTTCATTATGCCCATAGCCTTGCTGGAAATGCCGATGTCGGGATGGACCTGCTTAAGAACCTTGAAGATGTAGATCTTGTAGGTTTCCACGCTCTTCTTGGTCCGCTTCTTCTTCTTGTCTCCGGCGGTGGCGGAGGCTTCCTTCGGCAGCTTCTTCCCGGCCTTGGGCTTCTTCTCCGCCGCTGGAGCCTTCTCGGCGGCGGGCTTCTTCTCTGCCGGCTTCTTATCTCCTTTGGGAGCCATTTTGCGATTCTTTCTAGGGTAGGGTAGACGAAAATCAGAGAGATTGGTTCGAGATGAGAGGAAGTGAATTTGAGGTGATATTTAAAGAGGTTTGATATGTTTTTTAATTGGTTAGTGTGGAGTCTCACGGATTGTGAACAGTAGCCGTTGATTGGATTAATTTTGGACGGTACAGATTTAGGCACATGATTGCCCCCTCCTGCGGTTTTCTTTATTAAGATGAAACTGAAGTTGTGGTTTATTGTAGATTTTTGGAGATTTCTTAGGATTTATTTACCCGATCAATTTTTATCCGATACGAATTTTTATATTTTTATGTAAAAAAAATTAAAATTAAAATACTAATAATTCAAATGTACATTTGTATACGAAATAGATTCAAATTTAGAATTTTTTGAAAAAATAATTGAAATTAAAAAAATATAAGCATATATTATTAACTGGAGCTCCAACTCTCTTTGATCGTGGGTTTTAACCTAAACTCCCACTATTATTATTATTATTATTATTATTATCTTTTAAAAATATTAAATTAAATATTTATTTTTATAATATTAAATAACTATTCATATTTAAATTTTTATTATTCTAGCAGATTCAGTTTTTAAATTTAAATTTAACAAAATTTTATATTGTTTAAAGTTTGAGAGTTGAGGCTTGAATTTAAATTATGAATAACAAATTTCAAATTAAAATATTTATCCGATGTAATAAAAATAAATATATCTTTTTTTGCTAGGCTAGCCGGTCAAAGGATGGAGGGCTTTAGTGCATCTCCCAACCCAGCGCCTTTGCCAACCCACGCCAAATTCAACGTAAAAAACTTGGTGGTGTTATATTTTTTTAAAAAAGAAATTAATTTTTAAAATTTAATTTTTATTTTTTAAAATTTTTCAAAATTTTATTTTAAATTATAAAAGTAAAAATTTATTTAAAATAATAGGAAAAATTGAATATTAGAAGAATAATAGTGAAAAATTTAGTTATGGTTGAAGTAAAATTACCGTAGCAATTCCATATTTGAAGTTAAAATTGAATAAATAAAATTGATGGGTCAGAAATGGACTTAGGGTTTAGGATTTAAATATTGATATAGTATTTTAAATATAAATTAATTTTTAATATTATATTAAAAAAAATATATATATTTGATTTATTATTATTATTATTTTAAATATTTGTGATCCAATTGAATCTTCCTTATACTAGATTAAATAAGTGATACTAAATGTTTATTTGGTTGTATTTTGAAATTGATTTGAAATTGAGTGTTAATTTAATTTTATTTTTTTAAATAGTATTTTGATGTAATATATTGTGAGATAAAAATAGTACTCCCACTCCACTTACCATGTCTATTTTTTTATTTTTTGTATTTCTCACTTATTTTGTCATTTTTTTAAATGAATTATACACTTTAATCTTAATGTATATTTTTTTATTATACAATAATTATTTTAAATTAATACATTCTTAATTATTTATTAATTATATCCCTCTTAAATTATTGTGTCGAAAGTAAAGCGGAAGAAGTATATCTTTATTAAAAATTGTACAAAATAAATAATTTTAATTTTGATTTGGAATCATAAAAGAACAATCCTACATTATATATTTTACATTCACTTTAGTAAAATATATTTTTTTGTTAATTAATAGAAATATAATATTATTAATATTGTTAGAATAAGAAAATGAAATTCTCTATTTCAATCATAAGGATTCGAACATATTTATAATCACATACAAATTATCTAAATAATGCAAGAATCCTATAAATTAAATAAGATAACTATCATAAATATAATATATATTTTCTAAATATATTTTAACAAATATAATATAATTATGTGGATAAAAAATCTATATGTTCTTTGTATAGTTAAGTGTATCATTCTCACTAATTGATAATTTATAAACAATGCGATTTTAATTGATGATTTATAAACAATGCGAATTTCCTATTTATAGATAAGATGGATTGGTCGGATCCAAATCTATCCATCACAAACTTAAATTCTATTATATGATACTACTGAATAATTATCGACTTAGTCAAGGGGTTTTAGTTCTAGCGATGGCAATGGGTCCGGGTAGACCCGAGATTCGACCCAGATCCGACCCATTTATTTAGGATTGGATCCAATTATACAGGCATCGGGTCCGGGTCTGAGTTGGGTATTGTGTACCCTTAACATTTCCGGGTCGGGTCTCGGGTCCAATGGTGGATCCTACCCGGACCCGGACCCGACTAATATATTAATTATATATATGAAAAAATTAATTTTTAATAATAAAAATTATATTAAAAATATATTTTTAGTTTTATTTATTTATTTTTTATTATTTTACTATAAAATTTTTGAATAAAATATATAAATTTTAATATATGTCGGGTCTGGATCCGGGTTCGGGTCCAATTTTAAGTTAAATTTTAAAAATTAAAAAAACAATTTTCGGTCTGTCGGGTCCATCGGGTCTTGTCGGGTATTATTCGGGTCGGGTCCGGGTATAGTCGGATCCGGGTATAATCGGATCCAATTCGGGTCTCGGGTCCATTGCCATCCCCATTTAGTTCCCTGAGAGAATACTTCCGAATGTTCCAAAATTTCCAATAACCTCCGCAATTCGGCCCTTTCTCCCGGCTTCTCTAGATTATAGTTTCAGTCTTAGACATTCTCTTCCACTTAAGTTAGACATTGTCCTCTATGTATCGAATTCTAAAATAATGTCTTCGAATTGTCGTAAGTTCATGGCTAACTCCCAACTTGTATTGGATCAGAGCAATCTAGGCCACTTGACCAAATACTTTGTCGATGGTAGTAAATTTTTGTGGCGTATTACTCTATCAGTCAAAATTTATTATGCCGCCTTGTCGCATGTCAATCCATACATACGCCCGGTAAGGCCCATGCCGACTTATTTCAGCTTAGGGTGTGTTTGTTTGGAGGTTTGGATTTTGAGTTGGGATTTGAATAGTAAAAATTTTGAATTTGAACAGTTGTATGATGTGATATAAATAGGGTTTGATGTGATGTTTTGAATGTAAAATTGATTTTTGGTATAATATAAAAAATGAAAAATAGATGTTTGATTTGATGTTTTTGGGGGAAAAAAATTGGATGAATAGTAAAAATCCACCAAAATCCTTCAAACAAAAACACCCTTAGATGATGGATGTCACTGTAAAATTGTGTCAACAATCTTATGTAGAATATCCAGTGAATGGAGACGTATTTTAGGAAGTTTTACTTTGTGTACCACTTATCCAATCTTTTCAAGCATCGGAAACATGAGTTTTCATATTCCGCATCAAATTATTACCTACCTTTAAGGGTTGTTTGGTTTAAGGATTTAACGAGATTCCATGAGATTTGGATTTTAAAATCACATGAAATTTATATTTGATAAAAAAAAAAAAATGGAATTTAAAATGATAGAGATTTAAAAAAAGGATTCAAAATCCTATAAATAAAGGATCTTTTTGCAATGGGGGTACCCTGTTACTTTTAAATCTCATTTTTGTAATTTTAATTTTTACTTTTATATCGTCTTATAAAAGAAAAAATATTATATTTTTATAAAATACAAATTAAATAATTTTAAACTTAATTATTATTTAATTAAATTTATATTATTTTTTATGTTACAATATTTTTTTAAAAAAATAAATTAATAAATTCATTGTTTAAAATTATTATTTATTATAAATTTTATTTGAATTATAAAATTATAAGGATGACAATGAGTCGGATTCAGTCCCGAATAAATTGTTAGATTCGATACTCAAATTGGATTCGATTATACCGGATTTGACCGAAACTATACCCGCTAAGACTGGATGGATCCGAAAAATCCATTTTTTCTTTACAATTCTTAAATCTTAATTTAAAATTGCACATGTATTGGCACAACATTTATTAAAATTTATGTATTTTATTAGAAAATATTATAATAAAATAATGAATAAGTTAAATTAAAAAAATATTTTTAATATAATTATATTTTTAGAAATTATTTATATATATAGTTGATATATTATTATTTATTATTATATTACTCCGAATATGACTTCGGACCCAAACCTAGTACTCAAATAATTGGACTAAACTTCAAATAAATAGGTCGGGCCCGGTCAGGTATCGAGTTTACGCGAACCTAAACAATTATGTCATTTAGAATATAAAAATCCAAATCCTTCGGCTCATATGAAAAATAAACAAGATGTGAGAAATATAAATTCCATATAATTTTACCAACCAAACATAAGATATAATTCAAAATCTTAAATATAATAAATTTCACCACATATAAATCATACCGTGAAATCTCAATCCTACAAAAAAATCCATGAACCAAACAGTCTCTTAGTGTTTTGTGAGCATAAATAAATCAATACTCCCTTCATTTTGTAACAAAGTTATATTTGTTCTTAACACATATATTAAAAAATATTATATTTTAATGATAGTTGGTGATATTTTTGGTTAAATGACAAATTTACTCTTGTGAGTTTATCTGTAATAGAACGATATTTGTGTAAATAAGTTTAATTGAAATGATATTTGCAATGAGCAGTAAAAAACATATAACTATGATAAATAGACAACCAAAAATAGAAAATGTAACCTTCATTCTTGATGGACGGAGTATGTTCTAAATATATTTAATAATGTCCCAATATATTAGATTATTAGATAGATATACTTAGGAAGATAATGGATGTCTTTCTCCCATCTTAATACAACATTAGGTTTGTTTGTTGGATAAATTATATAATATGTCATTGTATTTTAATAAAAATGCATAAAAATACTTTGTGTTTTATTTATTGCGTGAAACTCCGTTGTGTTAATGTAAAATTTACACAAAACATTCTCTTTGTCCAAAAATGATGTTTGGTTCTAAATAAAAACTTAAATTACGGAAATTTTATACAAATAGAAAACGTAAAATATCTTAAATATTTTTTTGCATAAAATAAATAAATAAATAATTGATCAATAATTTTATAGTTCTTGTAAAAATAAGATAACAATTTGTCTCAAAAAAAAAAGTGAAGGATTAATTAATTAATTATTTATTTATTTTATTCAACAAAATTATTTATGATATTTTACGTTTTTTATTTGTATAGAACCTGCGTAATTTAGATCTTTATTTAAAATCAAACATCAGTTTGAGATAAAGAAAGGTGTTTCGTGTAAACTTTACATTTAACTAGGAAATTTCACGCGATAAATAAAATATAGAATGTTTTATTAAAATACAATGGGGTGTTATATAATTTATGCTGGTTTGTTTTGGTAAATATAACGAATAATGATATTATATTAAGAGCAAGTGTAAAATAAACAGTAAAAGACAAATTTATCTTATTTTTATAGTGAGTTAGAAAGAAAATAGTGATATTTGTATAAATATAATAAAAATACGATAGTTTTTTTTATAAACTAGGGATCTAAATGATCAGTTTTGCAAACAATATTATTGTTTTGACAGACAAAAATAATAAAATACATATATTATATTGGAATAAATGGAGTATTACATTCAATACTAATTTTTCGTATAAAATATTATACAATCTTAATCTACTTGCAAAAATATATTTTTTGGTAAGTATATTAACAAATAAATATATTAATAATAGTTTGTATTATTGATGTGAAATGATAATTATACCTTTATTTATTTATAATGAAATAATATTTATGTAAGTAATGTGATAAAGGTATTTTTTTATAATATATATAAAAATATATATATTTACTAAATAAAAAAATATTACTTTTGCAAATAGACAATCCAAAATAAAAAAGATATCCCTTGCAAATAGATGGATGAAAAGCTAAATATTTATTTTATCTCTAAAATATTAGAACAAAAAAATATATATCCTTTATGATTAATATAAATTTATTTTATAAATAATACTTTCTTCGTCCAATTTAAATTATTATTATTATTATTATTATTATTTTGTCCATTTTGCATTATTTGTCTATTTATTTAAAAATAATTATACATTTTACTAGTATTTTAAATTGCATACTTTATAATTTTTTTAAATCTTAATTAAATCAATTAATTATCTTAATTTTAATTTATAATTATTTATATTACATACTTTATAATTTTTTTTAAATTTTAATTAAATCAATTAATTATCTTAATTTTAATTTATAATTATTTGTATTGTAATTTTACTAGTATATATATATATTTTATCAATTATAATTTTCTTAAATTTTCGTATAGTTAACAAGAGGAGTAAAAAATTATAAATGTATTTTATTATCTACCATAAAAATATTCATAAAAATTGCAAATAAAAACCATATGAAAAATGTTGGTACAGTTGAAACAATACGAAACACTTGGCTTTGTTCTTTTATGGTGTGATATTTTCTGAAATAAAATAACATCTTTTTATTAGAAATCGTATCAAATGAATAGTATTGCTTTTTATCAATTTAATTTTAATTTAATCAATATATAAATTATACCATAAAATTCTGTAATAAATTTAAAATGGATAGTCATCATATATATCTATGATATATTACTGCAAAAATAGATAGAATATACCCTTTTTTAAAAAAAAAAAAAAAATGGAACACAAGAATTTACCAAAGAAATCAACCATCCTAGTACTACTCTCGTGAAATGAGCGATCCGGAGTGTCCGGCTTTCCAATAGACCAATGCATGGAACGGGAAGGCTTCCGACTAGGCATATCCCCAGGAAGTCGGTCCTTGTCGCCATTGAATCACTTCAAAAATAAAATCACAAAGCTTATGACTTGTGGCTCTACTCAGCTTCGACTGATGATCCGAGCACCATAGGTAATGGTCAAGGCCGAATAGTCGAACTAAGCTTTGTTCTTCACTTGTCCCTACAAAAAACAAATGAATCCATTCACAAGTTTTTCAGCACTACCATTCTATATGCCCTCATCGATGCCACCTTGAAACTATGCCGCGAAGGAATGAGCCGAGAAAATGTTTGTTCATTTCATAGCATGATTAACTAAAGTTCTATACAAGCTGTGGCAATAAGAATCAATTTGATGTAAACTGTAAACACTTTCACATCCATTAGTTCACTTAAATGGGCTTCAAATACACCAAAAAGTTACTGAATAAACTACTACATTACAACATTCAAGAGAATTTGGGGTGTGTTTGATTTTTATTTCAAATAAAAAATTTCACTATTCATTATGCACCGTTTCTAATAAAAATATTATATTTCCTTTCACAAAGCATCGTACCAAAATACAATTTAAATCAAAAGTCTAAATCATCACTCCAATTTCAAAACAAAACTAGACAAACCCTTGGCACATAAAGTACAATGAATAGCATAGATTATTTTGTGAAAAAAGACAATCGTTTCTTATACATACCCGAGTTCTATTGCGAATGAAACAGCTTTGAGGATTTGCAGTGTGGCACTCATAAGATCCTCTGTACACAAGCACTTGTTTCCGCATTGTCGGATGTGCTCCTATTTCACAAGCAATTGTTTCCTATTTCATTTTCCAGCTCAAGAAATGCATGAGCCAATCCAAACCACAGAATGGAAATTCATAATGTCAGTGTGCAAAAAAAGACCAGCAATGTGGCACACGGCACAATCCATGACTACAAAACAGCTAAGTAAATGATAAAGGGGAAAGAATAGCGAAAGAGAAAATAAAATGCGTTTCTAAATGAATTTCGATCCCTTGCATTCAGTACTTTCACGCATCAAGCCCTGTAACCGACTGGTAATGAAATTTAATCAAAGTTTGGAAGGAAAGGAATCAGCTAAAGTTAGGAATGTAATCACACGACTATTTGCAGCTCAGATGCTCGGCACATTCACAACAGCTGTTGGACGCACCAGGAGAAGCACCCAAGACTACAATCTAGCCTGTCATCAGTACCTGTCACAATTCATCATATTCCTTTCTCACCCTACCACCAATTTAACTAAAATGAATTTTTCATCCTGGAGATTGTGGTGGATAGATTCGATAATTCTCTCACTATCAAACTAAATGTTCAGTACTTACATAGGGTATAAGGTAACCAAAAAAAAAAAGTTCGAAACACGACAATTCAAATTTTGTGCAGTAATTGTGTGTGCATCCATCCTTTATAGGGTCAGATGAGCAAGGGGACAGTCATATCCAAGCCACAGGCATAGACTACCAACAGCGAGCAAGCTGGGCAATTCAAATGGCTAAAAGGATCTGCCTTACTCTTTCCTCATGTAGTTATGGATGCCAATGGACACATGGTGTTCATGACGAACATTATTCCTAGAGCCACGATTATAGCAGTAGTGACATATCATTGATACTTGATGCAAACTGTTATGGAGTTAGCAAGGCCATGTCTACACTAGAAGAGAGAAGAAGGATAGCACTCACCTAGGATTGATCGTGGCACAGGATCGAAGAATTCGTCATTAATTTTTATTTTATTTCTTATTATTCTTATTGTTTTATTTCCTATTTAGTTCTAGAATTATGAGTCTTGAGCGGATCTAGTTTAATCCTGCGCCGCAATCAGTCTAGGTGAGTACAATCCTTCTCCCCGTTCTAGTGTAAACATTACCGTACTTACTCCATAACACAAACTTATGTCTTATAGAAATTATAATTGTTCCAGTAATTATATGTATGTATTTATTTTTTCCATAAAGAAAATAATAAACAAATTTTGTTTGATAATTGACATAAGTAAATAATTTTAACTTATAAACTTAATTAAATATAGGTAAAAAGAAATATTAACTGTGCACACCACAAGGACTTCATGGCCAAGCATCAGTCAATGATGTATGAATGGAGCTAGATTAGCATCAGCACACACAACAAGAATGATTGCTAGTCTGAAATAATGATGTTTTGAAAACATGTAATTGAGTTCACCTTTTTAATTGAGTATATTAGATCCATTTGCTTTTATCCAACAGTGCCGACCTGCGCAACCAATTTGACAGAGAAGATACGTTAGCATTAGACTAGGTTTATTTACCAGAAAAAAACGAAGCAGCGCAATTCAATTACCACAACACAATTGAGCAGTCAGATTGAAAGCAATTACATCTATTGCTGCCTCACTATCATCAAAATTCCTAATAATAGCATTCATCAGATATCGTCTGCACAACATAGAAGACATGCTGGATGAAGCCTTGAATTCAGATCTTTTATCCAAACATGAAAGTTTCTATGCCAGATCAATATCATCCACAAAAAATTCAAGTTTGACAATCATTTCATCTTGAAATCTAACTTGATGAAGTTTCTCCTCAATTAATCAGATGAATAAAAAAAAAAAAAACTAAACATAAATTCACGGATGTCTCCCATAACTTTGGTGTATCAGTTTTGCAAGAAAAAAAACACTCGGGACAACAAATAATCCAATTCGACAGCTGCTAATACGTGACAGCAAATTCCCTAAAGCTAAGTTCTTCTTCAACAATGCTTCCTAAATAAATAACTCCTCATTTTCACTCCACTTTCTTCTCTAAAATGAGTAAAGTAGCTTGTTTCAGAAACCTGTTAACACTCTCTCGGGTATTCACTCTGTTGCAAAGGCATCTGAAATACCAAATACCAATGAATCATACATGTTAAAGGTGAAACAGTACGCTAACAAAATAAACTTCAACCAAAACTTTTCAAGGTAAAACGTCCAGCAGCTGATCATTAAAAAAATAAAAAACAATACATGTATAATGTTGCTTAGCCATCTACGTATGATGCAGTGAGACCACTTACCAGTTTCGCTAGAGTATTTCAAACCAAAGTCTCCATTTTCGGAAGACACTCAAAGCAGAAGCCTTAATTGACAAAGAGCAGTTGATATAATCGTCAATGAGAGTTAAAGTGAAAGAATAGAAACACGATCCAGCCAAGAGATTCCGCCGGAGAGCAGATCCCAAGTGGTCAGAAGCAACGGCGCCGCCTCCGTAGTAGGGTTTCGCTGTGCCGGTTTCGTTTTATTTTATAGGCAATGTGAAGTCGGGAACTTGCCTAACCGGTTTCGAACAGCAGGCCTGAGATGGCGGTTCGACGGTTCCGAGAAGGAGGTTAAACCGGAAAGGAAACCAAAATTGTACTTCTCTTCCAATATTTACCATTTTTGTCTCAGAACAATATCTTATTTTCATAAATAGTCATCTCGCCTACAGTTTGATTCGTCTTATCTAGCATAATTTGCAAATTATTAAATTCGGGTCGGAACTTATCGGTGCACACTTTTAGTTAGTAATTGCTGGTTCCACAGTCATAAAAAAAATACAAATATTTATTTTCTATACTAATTTACTCACAAAGTAAAATAAAAAAAAAAAAATTTACTCATATTGATTACCAATTATCAATATAATATAATTATTCTTTGAATGTCTAACACAAATAAAATTATAGTTATGGGGCGAAGAGAATAATATTTTATTAGTTAGTAAAGTGGACAAAAAGTTTTGATATTTTTCTACTCTTTGATTGATAGTATTATAGTAAATAACTAAATATGTGTAGTGATATATTTATATTTGTGAATTGTATTAAAAAAATAATAATATTTTGATATTAATATATAATTACATCTATTAAGATAGAAAAAAAAAATTGAATATGACATGCTAAAATAGTAAAAAGTATAATTATATTAGGGGAATCATAATTACTAGGTACCTAGTCCACTTCACCGCACGGATTTATTTTTGGATATTTTTCAAAATGCTTCGTACTAGTGGAATTCATTTGGGACTTATAAGATGTGTAATTTTTTCACAATTTCCAATGTGAGACTTAAGTTTGCACACAACAGGTGGAAACAAAAAATTAATTAATATGAATTATGATTTAACTTTTTTAAAAAATATCCTAAATTTTGAAAGAAAATGAATACTATAATGTAAAATTTCCAGGTATGTTCTTTTTATAAAATTATTTCATTAAACAAACTGAACCCTTCAAATCGCATAAGAATCATAAACAATTTTGACTGTGTCTCAATGTGTGTATGTTTGGTAAATATATAAATTATTAATTTATTAAACAATTTTGTTTGATCCGATCAAAAACTTGTTTGTTTGGGGTTTGGATTTTGAGTTGGGATTTGATCAGTAAAAATTTTGAATTTGAATAGTTGTATAATGTGATATAAATAGGTGTTGATGAAATGTTTTGAATGTAAAATTAATTTTTAGTATAATATAAAAAATAAAAATATGTATTTGATTTGATGTTTTTGGAGAGAAAAAATTGAATGAATAATATAAATCCAATCCAATCCCCGAACAAACACACATTATTTTAGTAAATTAACCATTTCAAATGACTAACTGAAATGGAAAGGCTAATAAATACAAACTTTTATAGTTATGTTTACATCATAATTTCTTTATTTATTTTCTAATGGTGCCCTTTTCGTTATAATTATTTTAATATACTTATTTTTATTCAAATTATAATTATAATTTTACAAATTTAAAATAGTTGAAATTATTAATTCTTTCATATAAAAACTATTCTATCTTTGATTAATTGAAATTCCAGTAATTGTTACTTGATATTGGATTGTTGATTTCTATATCGAAAATTGAGATTGTTTTATCATCTCAAATTGAACGTTTACGAATAAAGATTATAAGTCCTTATTGGTATATAACTTGCAGCATTCACTTCTACCTCCTTTTATCAATGTAGGAAAAAGCATTAATAGGATATTTAACAGTCGAATAAATTCCACATGACTTCCCTTGAGCATTTATTATAGTATATTTTCTCACAAAAATAGTAAATTCATTTAATTGTTGTTGCATAGGAGAACTTATTTCTAAAGTTTTCTTAACTCCCATGATATACCTTGATTTAATGTGTTGAGACTTCTTGGTCATATCATTTAGCAATTCTCAAACTTATTTTGGAGTCTTGCTCATCAGGTCGCCTCCACTAATAATAATCGATGATCCTCATTTCAATAGAAGTTAGTCTTTCATATAAATATTAGATTAAAAGTTATTCAGAAATCTAATATTGGGGGCATCAAACAATTAATTTATTGAATCTATCTCAATAGTCATATAATAATTTCCCTGATGCTTGCTTAATACCGCAAATCCTCCTTCGCAAATTCTCAACCCAGGCTATTGGAAATAATTTCTCAAAGAATTTGCGCTTCATATACATCCACGTGGTTACATTTTCAATAGGAAAATTGAATAACTAATCTTTTGCATCCTTAAAAGAGAATGAAAAAGCTTGAAGTTTGATATGATCCTTAGTGAATCCAAGTAATTTCATGTTTGTGTACATCATATCGAACTCTTGTAAGTGCTTGTATGGTTTCTCATCTGATAAGCCATGAAAAGACAATACTAAATATATCAGTCTAGGTTTAAATTCAAATGTCGTATTATTGGCTATAGCAAAAAAAGTAATATACAAAGAGTGTTGAATTAAATCGGAAGCAGCTAGCTCCCTTAGAGTTCTTGGAGCTAGCTCCCTCAGAGTTCTTTGTTGTATCATCTGATATATCGTAGTGTCTTCAACTTCTTTGGTTTCTTCAACCTCGTCAGAATTAGAAGTGTCTGCTTTTTACTCTCTAACTTCTTTTCTCAAATGACATGTAATTCTTTTGATCTCTGAATTAAAAATTAATTGATCAATTCGACCCATTCGAGACATAATCTGTTAGGCAAAAATAAAAATAGAAATAAACAATCAAATATATATAAAAGAAAAAAATTATACTGCTCTCCAGCAACAATACCAAAATTGTTAGCTTATCGCAAGGCTTCAAAATAATATTAATTCATACGTGACCAAATGCAAAATGCAGTAGTGATAACAACTAAGATCACCGCCGCAAAGAAGCAGTAACAACAATTTTACCACTTGTTTATTTATAATTAGACTAATATATATATATATATATAACGAAGAAATTTTGATTTACCACGCTGCTGAGTAGTATAAAAATAAAATTCACTCAAATATATAAAATAAATTAAACGGAAAAATGATTAAATTTTTAAGGATAATCAAACTCAGCATATGTATGAATGTTCGGTTCGAAATATGAATTTTGTTTATCTACTAAAATCAAGTTCATTAATTAGTTGGATAAATTAATTATAATTGATTTACATGACTTTACAACCAATATTTCTTTACTTCGATAGCTAAGCTACAACCATTAACTATTTTCCTAATCGAGTGAGAATTTAGGTATGATCGCAATATTACTGACCAAAATCGAACTTAGGACTTAACCCTTAAACTAGTGATATCTCATCATTTGATTTATAAGAATTTGACTTCCTAAACTTTAATTTTTAATTTTTATTTTTTGCATTTTTGAGGAAAAAAATTACTTTTTCAAAAACAATCTATTTTTTAAAATTTTATAATTAATTAAAAAATAATAATATTTGATTGACGAATGAAAGTGTAAAGAAATTTAAATATTTGTAGCTTGTACTTTATGTTTGAATTAATTGTATGTGTAATATATATTTTTAATTTATATAAAAAAATAAAAAATTTTAATATTAAAATATAATTATTTTTTTACTAAAATAAAGAAAATACTTTTATGCAATGAGATGGATAAAAATAATAAAAACATACTTTTTAATATATATATATATCTTATTTCACAAAACATCTAACCAAATTTTGCCAAATCAAACCCAAAGAAAAGCACTCTAATCTTCATCTAAATATCATTTTATATTCATAATATATCAAAATCAATAATTTAAATTAAAAAAAATTAAAATTAACAATATTTATTTAAATCACAATCAAACAAACCCTCTCAAGCTTGGATTGAGTTTGTATTGACGGAAATATTTAGTTTTTGTATTGAAATAATTTTAATTTAATATTTTATTAAATATATCTAATATATATATATATATATATATATTGAAATTGTAAAATTCAAATAATCGAAACACGTAAAAACAAACCCAAAATTCATCTCAAATTCAAAATAATTCTAAATTGTATCACAACACATAACCCTAATAAGCTTTTCTTCTGTTCCGAAGAAAGGCTAATTCCTAATGCGCATCTCCGATGCTCCTCCCTGCGGTTTCGGGGCATTCGTCATCTGCTCTGTTGCCCCTCTTGAAAGCCTGCAAATCTGTAAGGGATCTTAACCAGATTCACGCCCGCATCATCCGCAAGGGCTGCGAGCAAGACCATTTCTTGATGGCTCAATTCATCTCCATTTGCACGACGCTTGATCCCGCCAATTCCTGCTATCCCGCCGGCGTTTTCAATCGTGTCGTCGCCCCCAATATTTACCTATGGAATATTTTGATGAAAATCCAGTGCGATAGCTATTCTCTCGGCGAATTTTTCTCCTTTTTTGGCAGGATGAGAAGGGGGTCCAATGTGGTTCCCGATAAGTACACTTTTCCGTCTTTGATTAAGGCTTGCTGTAATGCTTTGGCTCTGAGGGAGGGAATGGCTGTTCATGGATTGGCAGTGAGGTCTGGGACTGAGGGGGATGTGTTTGTCGGGTCTAGTTTGATCGATTTTTACGGCAAGTGTGCGGAGATTGAGTGTGCGCGGAAGGTGTTCGACGGAATGCCTGTGAAGAATGAGGTTTCTTGGACGGCGATGATGGCGGGGTGTTTGAACGTTGGTCTTATTGACGAGGCGAAGCAACTGTTCGGCGAAATGCCGCTGAGGAATGAGGCGACTTGGAACGCTGTAATTAAAGGGTTAGTGAAGTTGGGTGATTTGAAGAATGCCCGGAAGTTGTTTGGAGAAATGCCTATAAAAAATGCTGTGGCTTATACCACTTTGATCGACGGCTATGCTAAGGCTGGGGATATGGCGGCAGCCCGGTCCTTATTCGATGAGTTGCCTTCGAAGGATTTGATTTCATGGTCTGCGCTGATGTCCGGCTACGTGCAGAATGGGAGGGCCGGCGAGGCAGTGGCAGTGTTTAAGGAAATGACGGCTATGAACATAAAGCCCGACGAATTTGTAATGGTGAGCTTGATGTGCGCGTGTTCTCAATTGGGGTCGTCGGAGCTAGCGAAATGGATTGTGTCGTATATGCGCAAGGGGTCCTTTGACATGCGGCGTGCGCACGTCGCTGCAGCTCTTGTCGATATGAACATAAAGTGTGGGGATATTGAAAGGGCGACTTTGTTGTTTGAGCAGATGCCTAGACGCGATTTGATTTCATATTGTTCGATGATACAAGGATTATATCTTCACGGACGTGGCCCTCAAGCAGTAAATCTGTTCGACAGAATGATAGATGAAGGCATACAGCCTGATAACGTGGCCTTCACCGTCGGTCTGACTGCTTGCTGCTATACTGGCCTTGTAGACGACGGATGCCGTCTATTCAGCTTAATGACGAACAAATACTTGATGAGTCCGTCACCCGATCACTATGCTTGCATGGTTAACCTTCTCGGGAAATCTGGAAGGCTAAAGCCGGCTTACGAGCTGATACAGTCAACCCCTGTGGAGTCGCATGCCGGTGCTTGGGGCGCTCTTCTCAATGCGTGCCGGATGCACGGTGACATCGACTTAGGCGAGGTCGTAGCTGCTAAATTATTCGAACTTGAACCTCGCAATGCAGGAAGTTACGTGCTTTTGTCCAGCCTTTATGCGGAAGCCGATAGATGGCTGAGCGTATCGCGAGTGAGGGATAAAATGAGCGAACGAGGAGTCAGGAAGGTACCGGGATATAGTTATGTTGAACCGACCACCTCAACCTGATCAGATAGATACCCACACACCGACTGATTCCTCTGGCGGTGCATTCTTTTATTTTTGGCATTGCCAATGCCAAGCTACAATTGACGAGCGGACGAGATACAACTTCAGGGGTATGTTTGATTTATCTTTCATTCCTGTTGGAAATGGTGGTTTTCGAAGATCTTTGGTTCTGTCAATCAGGCGATATTATGCATCGGTTTGTGAGGTTTCTGGCTGCAGATTCTGTTCATGTCTGTTTTTTTGGTGGGAGTGAGTGAGGGAGGGAGACATGGCCGATCAATATGACATTATGAAGAAGACTACAAGTCGTCGCTTTTGCTCTCTGTAGTTCGCCTACGAATGAGAATGACGATGACAAAGGACAGCAGCTGAGTCAGATCTTGATGGAGATGATCTGGCAGGTTGGAGGCTGTCGCTCGAGGATTTTGAGCAGGTGGTCGGTCCGGTCTGCACATTTGGCGTTGGAGGATGATATGATCACCACATGAATTGGGCAGAGCGAGTTGACGATTGTTGATTTGTTTTTCTCGACCCGGCTTGAAGTTGTAGAAAGCTTGACAGACTGCCCGGCGAGACAGAAAAAGAATGTCGATCGACTTTGCTACTTGGTCCTGAGTTGAGGTTGAGTATCCGGACATCAGAAACTTCAGTCGAATACGAGGAGGAGAGAAAGTTGTTGGCGTTGGCGGCGAAGAAGAGTCGTCGTCGGCATATTGACATGGCTGCCGGTATGCATACATATACATTACATGCCTTCACTTACTGCTCCTTAGGATTGAACGCCAATTCAGTTTGGAGCCGCAACGACGATAGGTTAGTTTGGCGGGTTCGGGTTCGGGTTTTGGTTTTTGAGGTTTTCAAATCCGTTCGTTTGGCGGATTATATAGGTTTGATGAAAAAATCCTCTTAAATTAGTAATTTTAAAAATTAATACTATATTTATTTATAATTATTCATATTATTTTAATATTTTTACTGGCTTTTTTGTTATTATTATTATTATTATTTTTTTAAAAATATTATATGAAATAATTATTATTTTTTTATATTACTTTTACATTTAAAACATCACGTCAAACAACTATTTAAATTCAATTATTATTTTTTTATTATTCAAAAATTCAAATCCAAAAATAAAACCCACCCACAAACACACTGTAAGATATTTAATGTTCAATATTTGATTTTTTATTATATAAACTAAAAAAAATAAAATTATATTACATGTTTACGATAGTTAGCTAATTTTTTGGTATTTAGACATTCATTACTTGAAGCTCAAGAAATCAAATTCAATGTTATACTCGAATTTCACCTTTATTTTATTAAATAATCCGGTTCGTTGAATATTGTAAATTTAAATTTGAAATATAAGAATATATATTCATCCTCGAAAAAGATACTACTCCATTTATACTCATTTCTTTTGCAATTTACAAAGAGATGAATATAAAATTGGATGGAAGGAGTATTATTTATTATTTACTTTTTTAAAAAAAATTGGTGCTTTTTTTGTTCTTCCAATTTTTTTCTAAATTTTAATGTTTGAATTATATATATATATATATATTCTAAAACAATATTTTTTTCTTCTCATAAAAATTTCATTTCATATAATTTTATTTAAAAATTAATATATATATATATTTTTATCAATTTAAATGTAAATAAAAATTTATATTTATCATTTATTTCAAAGTAATTTCAACTCTAGGGATGACAATATATCCCGGTAGACCGGATACCTAACCCCGACCGTTATTTGGGGTTGGGTCCAGGTTGGATATTGTGTTCCCTTGTCGAATCTGGGTCGGGTCTCAAGTCCAAAAGTAGATCCTATTCGGATTCGGATCCGATCAATATATTACTAATATATTAATTATATATATATAAAAATTAATTTTAAATAGTATAAATTATATTAAAAATATATTTTTAGTTAATTAATTAATTAATTATAATATTTTTGAATAAAATATATAAATTTTAACACATGTCTGATTGGGGTCCAATTTTAAATTAAATTTTAAGAATTGTAAAATAATTTTCAGATTCTATCAAGTCTTGTCGGATATTGTTCGAATCAGATTTAGATGTAGTCGAATCCGGATATTTGAATCTCGGATTCAGTCATGTGTATTCGGGTCGACCCGACCCATTGACATTGCTATTCAACTACAATTATATGTATATTTTCAGCATCTTTTATTTTATATACTATAATCCGACCCAGACAGGTAGGCCCAGCAGCCAATAAAATTCATAGTGTGGCAATAGGGTGCTTTTTAGCCAGTGCAGTGATGTTCCAGCTAACGTGAGCGTTGTCAACACATCCTGTACGGTCATCTCTCTCGTGGATGATTCATCCTGCGCCACACCACACCACACCCCACCCTGCAATCATCCATTTTTCACCCGCCCTCCTCTCCTCTCCTCTCCTCTCATCTCATCTGCTGGATAATAATGTCGTCTCTCACCTCCAATCCCCTCCATTTCCCCCTCCTCAGAAACCCTAGAACCACTTTCACAATCTCCAATTCTCCGCACTTCGCCCTCTTCTCCAACCTAGCTTCTTCCTCAGACGATTCCGCCAAATCCTCGCTCCGCATTTCCGCAGATTCCTCTCCCAAATCTCGTTTTGTCGCTCGCAGGACTGAGTCCGTCTCCGTCCGCCAGCTCCAGCGCCCGCTGAGTAATTTATTGTTTTGTCTTTGTAGACGAGAAATATATTTTTTACACCTATGTTTTCCGTATTAATGCTTGGTACATTTATTTAGTTGAGTATATGAGCTTGCCGGCGAGTCAATACTCGGTGCTGGATGCGGAGAGAATAGAGCGAGTCGATGACGATACCTTCAAGTGCTATGTGTATAGATTCAAGTTTTTCACTTTCGAGGTTTGTCCGGTTTTGTTGGTGAGAGTGGAGGAGCAGCCTAATGGTTGCTGTATTAAACTCTTGTCTTGTAAGGTATGGACACTGTCTTTGCTACTCTGCCATGTGCTTTTGCTCTTTACCGGTTTTTTCTATGATGATGCTTTTGAATTCCTGTTGGCTGTCGTCGTTATAAGCTAGTGGAAGTTAGACTGTTGCTTTTCTTGCACCAGCACAAACACACTTTACTGAACGAACGAAATTGTTTTGTTTGATTATGTTTTCAAAACTGTTTTTGCACTATTCATCGAAATTTATCTCTCTAAAAAACATTACATTCAAAATCTAATTTTCATTTAAAAGATTATATTAAAAACTCATTATCTGATCAAATAATCACATCCAGCACATTTTTAAAAACTTATATTCCACTTTTTACTATTTTCAAACCAATCAAAAATTTTCGGAACACTTTAAAAATATATGTAAAGATACTAAAATTTTGTGATATTAACTGCAGCTTGAGGGCTCCCCAATTGTTGTTGCGCAGAATGACAAATTCGATGGTTAGTCTCTTTTCTTAAAGGATATTTTATTGATGAAGTTAATTTCTTCGCGCTGTGTTTATTTTCTAAGATGGGAGTATAATAGTTAAGATCATTCTGATAGACTATGTAATTGTGGGACTAATAATTGCAACACTTTGTTTGATAAATATAGGATAAAGTGGATTTTAGCACAAATGTTACTTTACAATAAAGTAATCCCACCATGTAGAAGGGATAATTATCCTTGAATATGGTATTCTTATGCCAAACTTTTATTAATACTACTCTCATCCGACTATTAGGTTGGATAAAATAATACTACTACTATCCAACTTAATTACTCCCAGTAAACACACTTTACGTGCGAATGTTATATCATTTCCCCACATTAAGAATGATTTATGACTCTGGAAATAATGGAGCTTCTCTTGTGTTGGATGAAAATATGACGAGAATTCTGAATGTTTGGATGGTGTTTAGTATCCTGTTAGTTGCTACATATCTGACTTATGAATTGCATTAGTTAGCTTCTCTTTGAAACATGGTTTAGTTTGTGTCATTTGGCTCTGAATTTTACTAAATAATGTTTTTTCAGGAATCCTTTGATACTGATTTGGTCTGGGCATGCAGCTTTAATGGAGAATAAGATAACTTGCGGTGGCAGAAGGGGTGATTCATCAATTCAAACATTGACGTCTGATGCAGTCATTGAGGTATTGATATTTGACTTTTTTTTGAAGTCGTGACCATAATGAAACAATTTTCTCTAACCTCTTGCTGTTGGTACGATGTGCAGGTCAGCATTGAAGTTCCTTTTGCATTTCGTGCAATTCCAGCTCAGGCCATTGAAGCTACTGGATCCCAAGTGCTTGGACAGATACTAAAAGCCATGCTCCCTCGATTTATGGCGCAGGTAATTAAGCAAACAATAGTGACACTTACGATGCTCCCTATTTCAAGCTTAACTAATCCTTCAATGTAATCTTCTAGTTAGATAAAATTCAACACACCTAATATGCACCTTTATTTGACAACTAAAATAAATAATTTACATGACTTTAAAGTTTCTTGAGATTTTGTGTATACTGTATACATTTATTTAATTGGGACATCAGCACTATTGAGTTAACTAACATAGTCTAATTAGACAAGTGGCATAATGTAAGGTCAATAAATAATAAGGTTATTTTGGTAATAACACTTGTAGGTATATATTTTTGGTTGTTGAATTAATGTTAACAATATGTTGTTTGTATGTATATATATTGTTGATTAAATATTAACGATATGCTGTTTGTATTACTCCATGTATTGCTGAATAACTATTATAAGTTACTTTACCAAAGTATGTTGAATAAATGCCAACTATGTGTTGTCTTCATATTTATATATTTTTGGTTAAATATTAACGATGTGCCAACATGTTATTATAGATTACTATGTGTTGTGTTTATATGCACGCGACTGACTACATATTATTATAAATTACTTTATCGAATTATGATGTGAATGCTAACATTGTATTATTTGTATATATATATGTTGTTGACTACATATCAACGATGCATTTTGTGTATTTTATATATCGCTAAACTAGATATTAGAAGTTACTTTCGCTAAATTAATTCTAATTATATGCTGTCGGTATTTATATATTGTTGATTAAATTTAACAATGTACTATTTGTATTTATATATATATTGATAACTAATATTATAAATTACCTTATCAAAGTACCCTAAATGAATGCTAATCACGTTTCTGTATTTATAGATATCGTTGACTAAATGGTTACTTGACGTTAAATGAATGCTAACCATATGTTGTGAATATTTATAAATATGACAAACTAAGTACTAACAAATGTGTTGTTGTAATTATATATATTTTCCCATAGATTTTATTTATTATTATTTTTAAATACAGGAAAATTACAGTTTTACCCTCGACTAAATATTAGCCTTTAGATTGAAAGCTAATCCAATAGTTTAGGACTAGTCAACACCTGATCCCAAATGTTTAATTTGAGTTGATATGCTTGGTTCATCTATACCTTATCTTCTGGCTTTATCATACTGTATTTTATTATATACTATTCACATTCTTTCAATGTGTTTATTTTTCTGTTTAAATTGTGTTGTTTTTGAACCTAGTAAGAGGATACATTACTTTAAGGACATAAGCCAATTGTTGATAATGGGAGGTGTTATAGAGTGACTATTTGATAGCATTCATATTGATGAATTTGCCAATATGAATTTGTTCAAAATAGCAACATTTAAAATGTTTAATGCTTTTAGATGATATTTTGGTTTTAATAGCAATGCTTTAAAACTTCAATTGAAAATTTTTAATCAAGGACTAATATGCCGCAAGGAATAGATGCATAGTTTTCATGTTTGGTTCATTTCTCATTCATCTAAATGATAAACTCTTGATGTCTTATTCTGCAACTCACGTGTGATTTGCTATAGAAAAAGTTAAATAAAACTAAATAAAATAAAGATATAGGATTATTTGGCTGGGGTGGTTTGTAGGCTATTGCTCCGCACTCAAATAATAGTGGTTACGGATTTCTGCATTATAAAAAAATAATACTCCCTTCTTCCAGTTACAATGATTACATATTTCTATTTTGGGACTTTCCAATTAGAAAGTTAACATTTCATTAAATACCCTATTTTTTTTCCACAAATACCCTTACTTTACATCATATCATTACTTTTACATAAAAAAGTAAGGGCAAAAGTGTCATTACACTACTTTTACCTACCCACTATAATTAATATACTATTATTTTATATGTCTAACCTTCTAAGTGGATGGAGGGAGTATATATTTATCTACTTTGAATATATATATTGGTAAAATATTTGTTGGAAGTGATCTTTTGTATAGAAAATAAGTAGGGTTCTGTAGGGGATTCCCATGAACTTGAAGTTTCAATATACTGTGAATTTTTTGGTGTTTGTTACTTGAGGAGAATTTGATTATATTTTATAGCTTTGTTGTTGTAACACAAGTATAGTTTTAATGGGTAGAATCGAACATTTATTTCTATCATGATGCAATCCGGAATTCGATTTATCTCTCCCTGTCCTTTTCATTATCTTGCAGAGAAACCAAATGCAGGTTGTAGAATGATATTATTAATTCATTTGGGCACAGAATGTAGATTGGTTTCAGTTGTTTATGTTTATGATGATGTTATCGATTTAATTTAATTTAATTGAGTTTATTGTTCAGTTAGTGAAGGATTACCAAGCTTGGGCTTCCGGGGACACGTCGAGGCAGCCTCTTGGGACAGGTGAGATCTAGAAGAATTAATGAATCCAACCAGTTAATCTCTACTGTATTTATTGTAGGTTCTTTGCTATGTCTCCGTTGTGTTTTTATGTTGGATATGAAAGTATGTTATTCCCTTAAAGTTGTTCACTTGGAACGATGGTTCGTAAATATTATTAAAAAAATTAAAATAATGTACACACATTAATATAATGAGTTTGTTTATTTCATTTTTTTGTTGTTGTAATTCCTATAAATATTATACTTCAGTTCGGCATTAAGGTATACATTTACTTTTTTGCTGTGAAGTTTAAGAAATAAAATAGTATAAAGATAATTTTGTCTTTGTTTTTTTTTTTTTAAGTAATAATGTGATGATAAAATATGAATATTTGTAAAATAAGTGGGGTCTATCGTTATTAAAAATGGAAATGTATATATTCATGCGAGAGATAGATGAAAATAAAAAATGATGTATATGTTAATGCAGAATTGAGGGAGTAAAAAACATTACATATATTCATATTATATATATTTTAAATACTTGCAAAAAATTAGCGATTGAATGCAATGCAAAATATTATTTTTTATATTATTATTACTATTCTATTTATTTAACATAAAAAATAATTTATTCAAAAACACTAAATGTATAAAGTTGATAGATAGATACTCTTTTTTCATCTTTGGTAATTTTATTAATCTTAAATATATTTAACAAATATAAATAAATTTAATTAAGTTTTTAATATCTTACACGTAAGATCTACTCAAAATTCTTTATTTCTATCTCTCTCCTCAGTTAACATAATTTTTTTTATCTATATTTAAAATTTCTCATTTTTTATAAAACTAATTAATGGTAATGATAAATAAAATAATATTTATTTATTTATTTGTATGATATAAAATTTTATTATCTACAAAATGATATCCATATTGTATATATTTTTTCGAGATATAATTTTAAAATTTTTTAAAATACCAATAATATATTATTCATATAAAAAATAATAAATTAATATCATAACTTATTATTAATAATTTACTAATTTACATAAACTAAAAACCGTGTCCCTAATAAAAGGGTTCATCATCGCGGGACGGAGCGAGTATATTTTATCTATTAACAAAAAGCAATAATTTAACATAAAGTATTAATATATATGTTATCAATATAATTTTTTATAAGACAAATTATCCAAAAATCCTCCAAAAATACGAAGTATATGCTATTATTTTTAAAAAGTAGGATTATGTTCTTCCCAAGCTAAGAAAAATAATATACGTAATAAAATAATTATTACTCCCTCTGTCCCAATACCATGTCCATGTTGCCGTTTCTGTCTGTCCCATATATCAGGTCACTTTCCTTTTTCGGGAAATGATTACACACTTTAATATCTTATTTTAAATTTTTAAATTTTATTTTTTTAATTTTAATTAAACTAATTAGTTATCTTAATCTTAATTTATAATTATTTATATTATAAGATAATTATTTTCACTAATATATTCTTAATTATCTACTAATTACACCCCTCCTAAAATACTGTGTCTACAGTGTAGCAGACACGGTATTTGAGACTGAGAGAGTAATATATAAAAAAAAGTCAACGACTAAAACACATAAGATATTACTTCATTCGCCCACTAATTTATGTTGATTTGAATTGTACATAATATTATATTAGTTATTGTAATATAAAATAAAAATATTTTGAAAAATATATAAAATAAATTAATGGGGCGATTTTTATTTTTTTAATAAATTAAATGAGTAAATAATTATAATATTTTTATAAACAAGTGTAATATTAACTAGTATAAATTAAAAAGTATGTAATATTAAATGATGTGTGTAAACAATTATTACATAACTTGCGGAGGAAAAGAAGAATTCGAATAGTAAAAGTTTGTCTAAAATCACACAAGAACACAACCAAAATTGCTTATAAATTTTTAACACTAAGTGAACAATCCTAATAAATAATAAAACTTAGATTAGAAACCTACCAAAAAAACAATGAACTTACCTTTCTAGCCTTGTACATAATTTTCTTTAAAAATATAGCATCTTTAAAAGTAAGCATTTTAGTGGATAATTGTAATTTACAATTTATTTGAAATAACTTTAATATTAAGATATTATCATTATACCATCCCTTTCTTTTGCATGATGCTATTATAACTTGTAAACTGATATTTCCTCCGTCCCATATTTATATATAGATTTGCTTTTTGCATGGAGTTTTAAAAATATTAGTATTATACTGGGATAAAGTAGAAATAAAGGTAAAAAGACTAAATTAACCCTATTAGTATTGTATGATAGAAATATAATGACGTTTGTGTAATATATTGTAAATTGAAAGGATATTTGTAATGTTAAGTAGATAATACAATTACTAAAAAAAGAAATAGATACTTTGTTATGGAACAGATCAAAATGGAAAAATGAATAGATTGTTAAGGAAAGGAGAGAGTATTAAAGTAAAAAAAATGATTTCAATTTAGAAATATGAATGTATTTTTTTTTTTAGAAAATACATTTTCTTAAAAGATATATTTTCTAAAAATTAATAATATATGGTATATATTTATTATTTTTATATTATTCACGCAATTCTCTAAATTTTATATAAAAAAATATATCTCTTCAAATTATTTAACTAAACAAACAAACCTTACATATTGTTAAAAATAAAAAAGTTGAAAGATAATTAGTAAAAGCAAATGGGACATAAATAGACTAATGACATAATTATTAATGATACCTTTTTCTAGATCCTAGGATTTCCTAATCTACTTATTTACCTTTTGCCTATTATTGTTTACTTCTTTATTTATTACATTTTTTTAGTCTTTTTATATGTATATATATATATATATATTCTGTTCTACCTATATAGTCTTAATTATTACTTAATTAGTTATTTAAATTTATGTATATTTTTTTTGAATGGTTAAAAAAAATAAAAAATTCTTCCTTTTATTTTTTTGTAAAAAATATATTATTATTTCTTTTTTATTATAAAAAATAATAATTATTCATCTTTATTAAAAATTATGCCAATTTATTTTTTTATGCAGAAGAAATTTAAAAATATTAATATTATATTAATAAGTGAATTGTATACGGTGAAACCATGTAAAATACCCTTAAGTCTATTGAAATTAAAAGTAAAATATGAAATAATATTTTGATAAATAAAAACAAGAATGTGGGCCAATTGATAATTAATTGAAGATCATTTAAACTATAAATAAAAATAAATTATTTAAATGAGATAATTTTAAATAAAAAATAACACAATACAAATACAAATAGGAGGGTGAGAGCATAAAGTAGTCTCTTTTGGCTATATATCCCAAAACTAAATAAAAGATATGCATACTTGTATATCAACTTCGGAACATGAGCAATGAATCCCATTAACATTATTAATTTTTAACTTTCACATTCTCATCGAACTCCATTTCGTCTATTTTTTATTTTTTCTAATCACTTATTTTTTGGGATATGTTATATATTAAAAAGAGAATAAAATTCAATGAATTTCATTAGTTTCCAATCAAAATGATCTTCATAACAAAAAACTTCTACAATTCTTATATTATTTGTTGTTTCTATTATGTTGGAACAATATTATAATAATGAACAGCCATCAATTAAAACTTAGACAAAAATGTATCTCATTAAAATGCAAATTTCTCATCCCATAAAGAATGATCTCATGGTGTAGGGTGAACTCCTGACCATGGGATAATAGGTTTAAATTTTTTACACCTCTACATTTTGTTTGTCATACATAATTCAATGTTATGAAATCTTAAACATAATATCCAAAAGGTTGTTTCTACAATCTTGTTCTCTTTAGAACAATATGAACATATCCAAACTTTACCTCAATAATTCAAATCGATCAATGTCGAGCCTTTGCAAGAATATATGCATGTTTATGCACAATCTCAACATATTGCTGATCACATTCGTTATCTTCAACCAAATCACAAATGAAGTGTTAATGTATACTAATCTGATTTGTTATCTCATATTGAATTAAACTTTTGGAGGTATTGACAACACTTATATTGTCACAGTATATGGTAAATCGATCACGAATTAAATCATAATCCTCAAATATTTGATGCATCTATAGTAATTGAGCACATTTATCCTATTGTAATGTATTCGGTTTCTGTCATAGATAAGACAATAGTATTTTGATTTTTAGAAACTACCAATGAGATTGTTGCCAAGATAAAAATATTATTCAACAATGTTTTTTTCGATCATCCTAATACCTAATTAAATTGAGATCAATAAATTCAATCAGTTTAAGTAAAAATATTTGAGAATAAAAAATACGAAGATTGAATGTTCTGTGCACATAGCAAATAGTGTGCTTCACATTTCTCAAATGAGATTCCTTTAAATTGGCTTGAAAATGGGAGCAAATATCAATGGTAAAAAATATTAGTATGTTTGGCAGTAAGATACAACATACTCCCAATGATGCTACAATTAAGATTTTGTCAAACTAAATTTTCATTTGGGTCATTTAAAAGTTTATCTTATTATGTCACACATGTTTAAAAACTTTTCCAACTAACACGTCCAAATTATTTTGAAGTAATGGCTAAGAGCGAGAAAGAAAGCGAATCATCGGGGCGGCGGCGACGACAGGCTGAAGATCGTTCGGTGAGAACTGCAACAATTTGATGAAGAAATAGCACGCATAATTCTATATTCTTTTGAGGTGCATTGCGATACTCGTCTGCTGGTACGAGAGGCATGAGCTGAAGGGCTGATTCAAATCTAAATTTGAAGATAAAAATGCAGACAATTAAATTGAAATCATCAAACATATATATATAAATATGTTTGTATGTATGTATTGATGTGTACGATATCAAATCGAAGGGGATTTTTGTAAAGAGTGTGTTCTGATATGAAAAATTAGGCTTTTTCTCGATTGGATCGGATTGTCGTTAATGATGAATCTCATCGGAAACCCTAAATCCGATGGTGGTGATTTAGGCGTTGGTTACTGTTTAAAAAAAATAAAATTATTTCATCAAATTCTCAACATATTTGCTTTGATTAGAAAAATATGGCATACAGTGCTCGTAATGCATTACAACCTTAGGAAAAGCCGAGTCCGGATTGGTTAAAGTTTAATATGGATGGTGCTTTGAAAAACAATCTGGAACCTACAGGCACATG